CCGAGATTGTTTCAGAAAGGTTCTATCATCAATAGAACCGGCGAGCTCCTTTTAAACACCAGCTGCAATATTCTTCAGCGTATCATACCTTTGGTTTTTGTTAATAGGCAATAGCATTAGTATACCGCTAACCCATCAAAACAACAATGAGACGGTCAGTAATTCTCACAGCAGGAGTCGGTGACCTCCAAAAAAGCCATAAAACCCACAATACAGTCGTGTTTATGTCATATGTTTTTATGCTTATTAAATTTAAGTGTTTCCAATGATTAATCCCACAACAGTAATAAAATAGAAGTCTAATTGCTTTAACATAAATTCTAAAAGAATAGATCGCTTTAATCGCTATTACAGTTGGGTATGGGCACGCGGTCTTATTTAGAAAACATACAAAAAGAGACGCATATAATGTTTAATCATTTCTTTTGTATTTGTTCGAGTAACAAAGCAAAGGATCTGATAAGCTGCTTCAGTCGAAAACTGCATTTTACTTATTTAAAATAAAATGCAGGGTTGGCAACTTTGGTCAGCTGCATATGGAGTGAGATTTTCTGTTCTCTGTTCTGCACACACATTTACATGTATGTAAGTTTTATTATCTTGTAAATACTCTGTAGGGTTTGCAAACTGCCGTAACGCTTTTGATGCAGCTAATTTTAAGTTCAGAATGGAATATAGATTGGCCTTAAGATTTCTTGCGTGAGAGTCTGAAAGAGTTTGCAACCATGAACACGTCCATTTTTTGTTTCACCTGAATTGATTTGTATAGAATATATCCGTATACAGTTGTTAAAAAACGGAAACTTCGACCAACATGAAATCACCAATAAACGACTTCTATTTATTCAACATTTTATAAAATGCACCACACCGAAGTAGTCTTGCTTGTTCATTGGCATGGGAAAAGGCGGTCGGTAATAAGCGTTACCTGCAAGATCGCTATTTTTCTTTTGGTGCAATTGTTTTCATTATTACTTTATTTAACTTCACACATCACATCTTTAAATTCTCATCCTTGCATTAGAATATAGACCAGTTAATACTGATGGTATCTCATGCTGCATCATATGTTTTAAAATTACTACACACTGAATATTGAACTGAAGCTTTACATTAAAAAAAAATCGCAAATCAAATCGTAATTGCAATTTCTGTCAGAAAAATCGCGATTCGATATTTTCCCCAAATCGTGCAGCCCTAGTCTACACCTCTAAGAATATTAAATCCCCTACTACCACAACCTCCCTCTTCCTGGGGGGAGGGGCCTCATCAGTGCCCAAGGACCCTCCTGCCTCCCCAGTCTCTTCCGGCTCTAAAGCTGGAAGCACCTGAAAGCGGTTAGACACAGTCACTTCAGGTGATGCCGCCTCTGTAAACTGTGTACACCCTTTTCTACATCTATGACCTAAGTTCACCCAACTCTCTCGACCTCTCTGCCCTTCAATCTCCCCCATCCCCGCTTGTGACGTACACACAGTCTCCCTAAAAGGCATATTAACTCTCTCCTCTATCTCCTTGTTCCTCACATTGTATATTGAGAATAACTTCCCACTGAATCATGTTTAACCAAAATAAAGTGAAGTTGCTCTTGGGAGGCTGAAAAACCACAAAAAACCCTCTCAAAGCAGGTTACTGCTGGAGTGGGAGGAAAAAAAAAAACAAAAACTCAGTACTCGTG